ACCGTCCACAAAGCGTACCGTTCTGTGCAAGAAATTAACCGTACCGGTCTTTGGTTAGTTATGCAAACCACGCAATCAATGATTTTTGAATCTTATAATGACCAAATAAGTAATTTTGGTTTATTTCTCGCTACGGTGCCCGTGGAAGGAGGACGGAGGTTGTGTCTGAATGTTCGAAACACCATTATCAAGTATCATGCGTCTGGACCTTAAACTGTAAAATTAAAAACAAGGAAACTACTCGAAGCAAACTAGAACTTCAAAACAACTAGACAGAGTGTAAGACGATTAACTTTTTGCTATAAATTAGATCAACTGGTTGTGTTTGTGGTCAAAGATACAGTATAGGCCACGAGTTTTTCCCGCAAAACACGTGCGGGGCATGTGAACCTTGAACAATGTCGGCATCTTTGAAGTCTTTCATTTTCATATAATTAGCAAATTAAATCAATTTCCTTTTGAAATATTAGCTGTATTTAAATATTCGTAATTTAACTACACAGATATTTAAACTAATATTATAAGATGCCTCAAAATTCAATATAATTGTGTTCGTGACCGGGGGAAAATTCGCCTTAAATGTGCACATGTACATTGATTTCATGTTTCATAATCCTATAATTATATTTGGCATAAAAAAGTTCAATAGACTATAATACCACTTAGATAAAACACGCTTTCATGAATTAATTCTCTGGTTGTCTCTACTTTTGATTTAAATTTTGCTCATTTAAATTATTAATTCAAATCTTATCGGATACAAGATCGTTTTTGTCGTAAGTATGCATTCATATGTAGTGCATTTCATATGCGTGATTTCACAAATGAATTATTTTGTAAGAATTTTAAAACAGATATAAACTGTCAAATTAAAAAAAAGATCCGTATTAGACTTTCACATTAATTCTGTTGAGATTCTCACTAAAGGCGAATCATTGGCGCAGTTATACTTGCACTGAAAATCTGTAATCATGTAAAATATGGATTTAAATATTACATGCGGTAAACACTAAGATTTCTACTGAACAGACAGAGATGATAATCTTACTAATGACCGAATATTTTTTAAACAGGTGTGAGGTGTGAATCACAGGAGATATTCTTCCTGCGTAAACAGACTTTCAGGGTCACCTAGCATCATGCCATTTTGATTGACAGGTGATGCACACGGTGTTCATGCGTGCAGCATGCAATTACAGAGAACAGATTATTCATTGCTCAATAGTTGTAAGTGGGTTGATTAAAAAGCGTCATAGGCTGATTAATTGTGACTTTGGCAATGTAAATAAAACGAAGAATTGGAATAAATACAAGTTTGTTTCTTTTAACAGATAATGTATAAAGGGTTTGCATCTCTCTCTCCCCCCCCTCTCTCTCTCACTCTCTCACGAATTTGTTTTTACAGACTTTACAAGAATAGAATAACTTAATAAAATAAAGAAAAACTTCTAAAAATAATTACTTAATACACTGAAAGGATTATTAAAAACAAATACTTGTCTGTGAAAAGAATGTTTTTTTTTTGTTACGAGAAAGCGCTCGGAAGTTATTGTATTAATTTTGTGTGTCTGCTGCTGAATTGTATTTATTTTGTTTATTGATATTTCTCTTCTGAAGCAAACGTTTAAGCGATTGATCTACAATTAAAAAAAACAATTTACATATCTAATTACTAGGAATAAAAATGAAACAGGAATAGTCATATTTATTTGTATAGATCAATCGATTAAAAATAATTTATATATATGAATAGCGTTATATAAATAGAACAAGTACATGTATATACCCGGTATATATCAATTCCTTTCAATTATGTTACAACTTTATTTTAAAGTAAAAAAAAAATGTTTCATTTATTTTTTTTTTCCTTTTTAAAATGAAGGTTCAGCAAACGTAAAAATTAAGTACGGAAAAATTTACGACTTCTATATTTATCAATACATATCAATACATAATGCAAAAGACATCAGTGGGATGATGTTTTTTCTTCCTTTCATCTTTTTTTCATTTTCCTACATCACCGCTGAAGTGTAAAATGTTTAAATTGAAACCGAGAAATAGATTTGTTAATAGCTGAAATATAATTATATACGTGCATTAAGTACTTCAGAAGTCATTTAAAATGAATAAATTTTTAGAAGCCAATCAAGAATTACAGCTTACAGGCTCCGCCCACTTCATTTGCATACCATTTCTCAAAGTGTACCGTTCACAAAACGAACCGTTCCGTGCAAAAAAGAAACGTACCGTCCACAAAACGTACCGTTCCGTGCACAAAGTGTACCGAACCGTACCGTTCAGGTGGTGTAGTAGCACGGTTTAGGGTCTGTATATATATATATATATATATATATATATATATATATATATATATATATATATATATATATATATATATATATATATATATAACCAAAAGTAATTAATTTATCTAGTCGTATGTTTACGGATATTGAAGTTAAAATTCTCGAAAAGGGATTAAAATTTACCCCTACGCCACGCTCTAAAAACATAGAGGAAATTACAAATGATACGGACGAATTTTGTAGAAGATTACGACTTGCTGAATTTTTTCTTGGATAAAAAAAATAATGACGAATCTATTGTTGCCAATAAAAGTGATTTTATGCCACCTAAAGGTAGGAACCAAAACGTAGATAAATTTATTAATACAGTGAAAACCTTTCCTGTCGAACAATGTGGCAGAAATAATACCACCAGAAATAACTTGAACAAATTAGAATGAAACGCGATTGAAAATTTAAGACATGATGAAAACATTATCATTAAGGAAGCGGATAAAGGGAGCGCTGTAGTCAAAATGGATCGCGAATATTATAAATCAATGTGTCTTTTTGTGCTAGAAAATAGTTCATACTATGAAAAACAACTAACGTACGAAAGTAAGAAGGTCATGCAAAAACTCAAGACTATTAGAGATGAATACGGACACAAACTTACTGCCAAGGAAATCTCATATCTTTTTTTTCATTTAACATTAAAACCAGTAACTGTTATGGTTTGCCAAAGATACATAAAAGCCAGAGAATTAAAGATGAATGCAAAATTTTCGGATCAACATATATGTGTTGCAAGTAAAGCTGATCTCTCAATTAGACCCATAGTTGCGGGACCAACATGTGAAACTCACAGGATAAGTAATCTTTTGGATATATCATTGAAACCGTATGTTACCAAAGTTCAAAGTTATATACGAGACACAGTAGCTTTTCTCAATACAATTCCTGAGAAGGTCAACCCTGAATCCATTTTGGTTTCATTTGATGTCGCCAATCTATATTCTAAAATTCCACATGCTCTTGGACTCATCGCAATAGAACACTGGATAGACAGATTTCCTAGTCTTTTGAATGACAGATTTCCAAAAAACTTTGTTTTAGAAAGCCTTCAATTAATCTTGGAAAATAATTTCATGCATTTTAATGACATGGTCTACAGACAAAAATGCGGCACGGCAATTGGAACCAAAGTTGTGCCGACTTATGCTACACTTGTCCTAGGATTCATAGAGGAAAAACTGTATTTAACCGTGAAAGAAGAACTCGGGCAGGACTTTGAAAATTTTATAAGGAAGTAGTGGATACGTTACTTAGATGACTGTTTCGTCACATGGGACAAAAGTGAAGATCAACTAATGATTTTTTTTAATATTCTTAACAACCTGAGCCCCACTTTGAAATTCACCATGGAATCGGATAGTAATAAGTTATCCTTTCTCGATGTAATGGTTATTAAATAAGAAAACCGTTTAATAACGGATGTTTTCTACAAAATAACAGATACCAAACAATACCTAATATTTGACTCTTGTCACCCTAGACACACCAGAAATAATATCCCTTACAATTTAGCCTGACGTCTTTGCACAATAATTTCCGATGCAGAAATCTTGGAATCTCGCCTTACGGAACTACAAGAAAGACACTATCCCATACAATTGATTGAAAACGGAATTAACAAAGTCAAGTTTCAAGAAAGAAAACATCTACTTGCAGTGAAAAATAAACAAGTAAATAATGTTATACCATACTTGTAAACACATAACCCAAGAAATCCGGAAATTTTCAACATTTTTAGGAACAATCTGCCCATTTTAGAGGACGATCCAGATATGAAAAAAATATTAGAAACTTTACAGATCATTAAGAGTAAACGACAAAGTCCGTCTCTCAAATCCATCCTTACAAAAGCATCCTTTTCTACTAGCAACAATGAACCAGCAATCATCAATAGATGAAGTACTTGTCCATACCTGACAGAGGGATCCAAATTTCAATTAAAATCTGGAAGCGATTTTACAATTAAAACGTCAATGTCATGCACCAGTTCTAATCTTATTTATGTAATAACCTGCGCCGGTTGTGGTGAAAATTATATCGGCCGGACAGGAGACACCCTGAGACACATAATGACCGTACACCGACAACAAATTAGGGAAAAGAAATACCAGTGTACCGCCGTAAGCGAACACATCAGAAACTGTGAATAAAAATAAACCCCCAATTTTACTGTCTTTCCTATCTACAAATTCCGATAGGGATACTACAGAAAAAGAACGTGAAACTAAAGAAAAATATTTTATAAACAGACATTAACCTGTTTTAAATGCAACATAATTATATTTTATTTAAGAAATATACTTTTACCAGCTTAATATAACTGTACTATATGTTTAAAAAATCTAATTTCCCGTAATAACTTACTTACGTATTATCATGACGTCATAATGAACTTTGCTAAAGCGCGACTAAGTATTGGCGCATTATGACGTCACAATATGAATGTTGATTTTGTGTAACTAAGCATTGTAACAAAACATTGTATTGTCAAACTCCTGAAGATTGGAAATGAAACCGGTTGAGTTTATTTCGGTGTTGTGATTTTTTTTATCAAACAAGAAATAATACAGCACAGATAATGTCAGCAAATGTATAGCAAGAACGTTGATATTTGTTTGCTTTCGTTTTTAGGAACAATAAGTGGCATACCTCTGATGAAGGCGCGCCCTGGATAAGGAGTATCCAAAAGACGCCAGAAACACCCATCAAACAATGGAGATGTCAGGTTCCTGTAGTAAATTAACACGCGTCATCTTTATTCTATTATTAGGAAAAATTACAATCCATGTTGATTCAAGGATTTATATGAAGGAGAAGAGATTTACAAGAGTAATTTGATATTTCATTTACTGTAAACCAACTTTTTTTGCAAACAAAAAAAAATCGGCATATTCGCGATAGTCTCTTCGTCAAGAATATTCCTTGCCGCGAACCAGTTCTTTAAGTTTACATTAATATATACAGCTGTATATGAGATATCCAAAATACAATAGACTTAATCGCGAAAAATAGTCGTGGAGAAACAATTTACCTACTGTAGATCGCGAAATAATGTCTTCGGCAATATAATTTCGTGTACAGTACTTGCAAAAAGCATGTGCTTGCATTCGTTTTTTTTCTAATAGTTTTCCTCCCTAGCCAAAAAAAGGTCACAAAAATATAAACCATAACGATTTGATATATAACCCCATAATGTATATGAATAATTTAAGTCTCTTGGTATTCTCTAATTCTATCTGTAACGTATAAAACGTCCAAATCATCGTTTGTGGTCGGAAAGCACAGTTCTAAAAAATGCAAACGACTGAACATTTTATCATTATTTCAGGAAACAGGATTCTTTCTGTAAGCATCCGGTGAGGACGTGAGTTTAAATTCGAATTAAATTATATACATTACAAGAAAAAATTAAATTGTAAACAAAATGTATTAAAAAAAAGATTAATAATAAATAAACAAAATATTTTAACAAGGGAAATTAACCCCAAAAATATCACTTGTCTTCGGTGCCGAAATTCTTTGCAATAGATTTGCACTGGTCCTTGTCCATAACTGCAGATTTTTTAAATTAGATTAACTCTTCCAGTTTCTTTTATTGAAGACTTCACGGAACAATGTTAGTTGAAAAGGAGTTGTGTGGCACATGGGGTATTTACTCTCAGGTTCCAGAGTCAACAGTCCGACAACTTTTCCAATACTTTTGAAATGTCTTTAAATAAAAACTAACTATGACAATGAAGTTCCAAATACTCAATGCAATCTTTCAAACGTTTCTGCACATCAACTGACTTTAAATCAAAGAATGAAATGTTCCAAGTGGGTCACCGCCAGGTGATAAAACTGATAGTATTCAGAAGCTGGTTTTAAAGATGCCTCTCTCAATCAAACACTAACACATGGAAAAGGCATCTCATAAATACAATAGTCCCTGATAAATGCAGCAACCGAGAGTTTTCATAGCCCCGACAGCCTTTGACGTTTTGCATGAAAGTTTTAGATGTATATAAACATGACAATAAACCCATGAAACGGTAGGATACACGCACGATAGTTTACACGGTACACACGAAAAATGCAAAACACGATAGACATGTAAAACGATCTTCACGATAGGATAAACGCTTGTTTGAAAATGCGCAACATTTTTTGAGATGACGAAAAGATTCTTTTGTTTGATTACTGAATTAGGTTCATTTAAATATTAATTTTACAAACCTACAAATCTATATATAAAGCATATTTAGAGTGTTTTGGTGAACAAAAAAAAAAAAAAAAACAAACAAACAAAACAAAACAACAATGTCAATGTTTAATGTCAATTTCATAGTACCTGTGTGTACATTCAGAATGTTTTCAATAATATCCAAAAGTCTCGACTTTTACATATACATATAAAATAATTTGGAATAGAAAAATGTATGTTTGCTTTCTTTTCATTATTTTTTAATACCTACTTTTCAAATTATTGTTTTGATCTGATTAAAGTATCAAAAACATATTTTTAAAAATTTTTTTGATTTTGACTTGTGATGCCTGTGCAGAATGATGTCTGCATGGAAACTGAAGCAACGATTGAAGATGTTTTTGAGTGCCCTATAACTGAAGAATCGATGAAGGAAAGGTCAGCTAGAAAGAGATGCGAGGAAATCCGCGATGTTTGTGCCGCCGAGAAATTAGTGTATCACTGTGTACGATATAAGAACAAACTCATAGAAGTCTGTGCACCTAGAAATTATATAACAGGTGACAATTGTTCCTTTCTTTTTTTATATTTTACGAACTATTTGGTTTTAAATCAGTAGGTATTGTGCCTGCTATTGAAAAAAAATCAGATTAAATTTCTGTCATAAGGATTTTGAATTCCTTGCTATTCACAAGGATGTCCATTAATGACGGAATTATTTTTATTTAAGGACAATGTTGTGTACAGTTCAACGAGGGAGTGGCTCGTATTGTGGAAGATTATAGCGTTCCTTGTTCGGAGTGTCCTTTTCATTACTTTTCAAATGATTCTTTATTTTGTAAGTGATCTCATCAATTGGTGTCTAATATAATTGATAATTATGCTACTTAACTGCAGACGCTGTCATTGTGTTTATGATTTTTTTCCTAACAACTCACTAAAAATGAACTATATTTAATACGTTACTATTATCTGGAAAAAAAATATTAATTACTGTAAAAAGGTAAAAGGATATTCTAAAATAATCTGTCGAATTTTCAAACTTAAATATCACTGGCAAAGCCAGTTAAAAAGAAACCTTCAATTATAAGGGCATCATTAGAAGTTGGTATAATTTTTAGTACGCAGGGGGAATGAGGAAGCATAAATAATATTCCTACCTTGACTAAATCAGTGCTACATTATGACGTCATAGTAGGCGAGATGACGTCAATTTTAAAGAACAACTTTTCGTAATATTGGTATTTAGAGATGTAATTTAACTCTAGAAAATGAATAGAAACGCGTAAACATTAACAAAAATAAAATTCTCTTATTTTGTAATGCTGTATTCTGTCATTTTGATTAAAATCTACCACCGATGACGTCATATGTGTACATCAAGTAACTCGGGAATTGATCATGCCGTGTAAAGAGAATTTGGCTATTACGGCATGTACAAAGATACGTAAAATGGAGTTTAACAGCAAATATTGTAAATATTTAGTGATATTCATATGGAGTTCAGTTAATAAAACAGGTAAACTAGTTTATTTTCATCGATTTTATTCTCTTTCGAAGACAGTCAGCTATATACGTATCCAGGTCGGCCTTTCCTCTTTCATTTGTGACAAAAATAATGCAACAGAACAACAATAAGCTGAATATTTCAAAACACAAGGTTTGTACATATGGAAAGTTTGCCTCCTAAAAAAGTTGGAAAGTGCTGCTAGAATCCCGAGTTAAGCATGGTTTTATGAAAAATCAGAGTTCATATGTAAAAAATTTAAAACATCGGGTAAGGTTTCGTGCGAATGTGTGGAATAATTATTTTACTGACGGGACAGTTGTTCTAGCAAGCACTTTTTAGGCAAAACAGATGTTTTTCAACAACATTATTTCCTCAAAGAAGTTATCAAACTACGGGGTATTGTTGTTCTGTTAGTTTTTTTATTAAGGAAAATTTCGCTATTAATAGAAGTCACGTGATGCCGTGGTGGTGGTGCACGTCATTGCTTTAGACACTCTTATTTCATAACGCATTAGATAATAATAGTTTACGTTTATCAGCGGTTTTGGTAAATTTTCAAACTTAAATTTCTATATAAAGTCTAAATTTCCCGAAAAATGACTTATATGCTTCCTTAACATACCCGCGTACTCTTTTTGTTTACTGAATGCTTTCAAACATGCAAACATTTGTTCTTTACAGACAATACATGCCTTTACTCAGTTGAGTCTCTTGCTGCTATAAAAAATGCAACAAAGACAATAGCTGATACTACATCTACGTCAACACTTCTGTTTGACGCAATGTCAACAAAATGCAGATATGCATCAGGGCGTCGTAAAGGATTTGTAAACTGTAGCCAATATGTAACAGCTACCCATGTCAATACCGCTGATTACATCCCAAACACTGGAAGAAGCGACAACAACTTACAATTTACAGGGTGTGTACTACATGATAAATGTCAATTAACATTTTCAGTGGAAAACATCACGTTTTTTATTTAGTCTTTAAAAATGTAACTACTCTTAAACAAAAGGTAGAGAAACTTTAAAATAATTACTTAAAATTCTTACACTTGTTATTACTATTTATATCAATTTTAGTATAGAAGTTATTAAATCAATAAAACAATTTTAGTTAGTTCAATTTTATTTTACAGTTCCAGTAGTGGTATTGGTATTATAATTGGAATTCTTTCGTTCTTTGTATTTGTCTGCATTGCCGCTGCTGTAGCATGTTGTATTTGGAAAGGTATGTTTGAGGATGAATACGTATCAAGTTGCTTGCTTAGAGTACAGACCAGTCCTAACACCCAAGCAGGGTCTGCTTTGGGACTGCTCTGGGGCCGCTGTGGGACTGCTTTAGGATTTTTATGACACTGGTCTTAAAAATGCTCTATAAAGCAGACCAAGCAGTCCCTGGAACATTGTTCGATCATGTGTAAACAAGGTTCCGAGAGACATGTTAGCTCCGCCCCTTGTGTATTCTGAATTTGCAGTCTCCCTGTTGTTTTGTTTACTTGCAGTAGCGATGAGTTTAATCTGTTTAAAAAGCAATGATTTTTTAAAAATCTTTTAATCAGTAGAGATTATTATAGTAAATTGATATTTCAGGGACTGTATATTTACACAAACATAGTTTAAAATAAAAAAATAAAGTGGTTAAATAAGGAATTCAGGAAAAAATTTTTATTCCCCCCCCCCCCAAAAAAAAACAGGTTTATGAGATAAAAAATATGTCGTCTACATGTAGGCCTTTTTTATATTTAAATGTAAAATTATGTACCGGTACTCAAACTTTGCATTTTGTACTATTTAAAAATAATCATAACAGTTACATATAAGATTTGCTAATTAAAAAATTCTACATGTTTTACTAGTGCCACGCTAAAAAAAAAGTATTCTTCATGTATGTAGCCCTCAAATAAAACCAAACAATTTATTAAATTACTATAAGCATGGAATTAAATTTTGCTGTCACTCTTCCATAACATAAATAGTGTGAATAATAATTGGAGAATTTATCAATAAATTACGTTAGTTTTTAATCTATAAACAAATTATTGAAATAGTACATTTATTTTAAAAATAAACAGTTGAAAATACATGTAATTGTGATTTACTAATACTTGGCAAAATTAACAAAGATTTGTTTAAAAGCCACAATACCTAATAAAATTCCTTAGAGAATTTTTCATATATTGATGATATAAATTAAAAGCTAATTCTGGTGGAAAATAATAATTCTAATTTATTCAGGTTTAATTTTCTGTATAAAAAAATTTGGGAACCAGCATCAATCACATAATTTAAAGAAATTTAATTATTTATATACCCGATAATTATTATTAAATATTCATGATCAGTGTAATTCATATATGTAGATGTGAAAGCCTTATTCCTTCAATACATGTTATAATTTCGATTTATTTCTATTCGCACACTGTTCATATATGACCTTTGCATACATGTAAACATTCCTGGAATACTACCCAGAATCACTTTCTACTGCCTTTTATAGTTCTACTGTTTATTGGAATTCTCTTTCCGAGTTAGTACCGCCAATTAAATTACTAGATCCCTCTCACTGGGACTGCGTGGACTGCTCTCTGGGACTGTTGGGACCGCCCTGAGACTACTGTGGGACCGCTGTTGGACAACCTTGGGACTGCTTTGTTTCAGGTTGTGTCTGTTCGGTGCTCTATCTACTATTATTTCATGCTAAAATGGGTTCAAATCTTATTTTCAGAGGATCCTATATCTTAAAAGTTTGTTCGATAAATATATTGATTTTAAATCCTATTTACAATGTTCCACACTTTCATTGATACAAAAACAAAAAATTCTCTATTCTTCTAATACGAGTATTTATTTAATCACATCAGTCCACGAACTTTTCAAACTCTGGTACAAACACAAACATATTAAAGAATCATAGTAAACGTGGTCCTTTCTGACTTATCAAGTAAAACATTGTCTTCGTTTGTAATGCTCGTTTTATAAATTGTATTTCAAAAGAACCTGAATTTTATTCTACAAGTGGTAATTCAACTTATACTTATGGATCTCTTTCTAAGGAAGGATCTGCCAAAAGTTTATGTTAGTTTTGCTTTTTTTTAATATCCTAAAAAAGCAAATTTAATTTTGATTACCATATTTATGTTGGATTCTGAAACTTCATAAAAATGTTTATGAACAACAATACGTAGCGGGTTCCAGCAAATGTTCAACCAAATCTTTTTCTTTACTCCTCACTTAGAGATTTACAGCAGTGAAAGATGAACGTCGAGATCATTCTGCATAAATTTACTCGAGAAGTGGTATAAATCAGATGTTGTTACTTAAATATTCCAAGGATTATTAAGAAAATTTGAACTCAAAAGTTTTTTCCCCAAAAATCAACAGCTTAAAAATTTACGACTTTTAACCTTTATATACAACACTACTCCCCACGAAAAAGTCCAGGCGTTTTGATATCATTGACATTATCAATTAACAAAGCTTTTTTTCTATTCTCATGTCAATACAACATATTCTGGTGAGCTTGAGATAAAAGATATTACAGAATTTTACAAATTTGTTTCATATTTGGATATTTTACTTGGAAAATACTTTAATGCTAAACCAACAACCAAGCTCTGTGGTAAAGGTGATGATTTTGAGAGTAACTTTTCATTCAGCAACTTTCCTTACGACACATGCGATATACCTACATCACTTGCATATGGAGATTTTTTTTCATTTGATTCGATATGCAAGATGATTCTCTACGTATATGCATTTTTTGTAAGGAAGTAAATTATCCTGAAACAAGTTAATGAAACAATAATATCAGAACTATCCTTTAAAGTCATCATTTCGAAGTGCTATGAGCGATAGAATGATCTTGTCGGCAAATACACAACTCATTATTGAATCAAGTGCTGACTGACATTTTCATACTAATTGTTATTCCGTTATTTTAACACTAAATTGACACAGATTTTTCTGAAACATAGCAATCATGACAAGAAGCAAAATTCTGTGAACAGTCGACAGGGGACTCTCACTCCTCAATCGCAACCGATCCCATCTCTAATGCTTGGGGTTTGTGATTGCTTTGCTCTTGTATTCTTTTATGGGTTTTGAGCTGAAATACTGTTTTTTATATCCATACAATTCATCCTAAATCCCTACTGAGAGATGAAGGTTCTGCGTCATTTATTTTTTTTAAAAATAGAACTAGAGGTACCCTGAGCAATGAGCTCACTAAATGATACCCCCCGCCTCCCATAATGTCCATGTTTTGCTATATGTTATTTTACGGTAATGTGTAAAGGGGAATAACTCGTTTTATCAAGTGTTATTAAGAAGCCGCCATATGCACGACGTCATAGGTACGTATATAATGGCAATGTCCATGTTTTACTATGGGAAACTAAAAATTCGCGTCGAATACAAAAGTAAAATAGAAGGTGCACAATGGCAATATGTAATGAAGAATCTCTGAAAGTTTCATTAGATTTCACTCGGTAGTATAAGAGGAGTTGCAGATAAGTGATGGATACCCCAAAGCGTAACAGAGGGACGGACGGACAAAACGATTACCATATATCCTCCCACCTTTCGAGCGAGGGGTATAAATATATAGCATGATTCTATTCTATGTAATATATTAATAGAAATACATTTATTTTTCGTTTAAGGACAGATGATACAAACAAAATCATCGTATGTCAAAAAATTTGAAAATAACAACATAGGTCATGTTTTATTGAATAAATTGTATCAATTTTACTGCATAATTTTTTATTCTTGATTTAAAATTTCACAAAAATGGGATTTGACATTTGATCATCACAGAAAGTTTACAATTTCTTAAGTTTATATTCTAGATATTTACTACTTGCATCATTTGCAATGAAATTAGACTATAAAGTATATACCGATCCAGGCATCCATTTTTGTTTGTATCACCTGTCCTTAAGTGTGTTCATATTTTCTTTGCAGGGAAGTCAGACAGTATTGTAAATATACGAAGTTATGCAGTAATAGAAAAACAGCGGCGCACTTTACTAGAAAATGAAGAAAAGTTGGTCAGCGGCTGTACTAGTTCAATTGTCTTGGATGGATAATCAATAGTAAAACATTCGCTCAGTAACGTTTCAAAATATTCCTGATCCACCCCTTTAAGCATAGATTAATTGAAAACGGTCTAATAAATGAATTAAGTATACATTGTGTGTGTAATCTAAAGAAAGGTAAAGAAAAAAAGTTATAAAATAAATCAATATAAAATATACATGTACACTCACTTTGTGCAGATTTCCTTATTTTTTTTTCTTCTTATTTTTCCTTTCAAATAATTGGCCCTTTTTAATTGTTTGTCTGAGATTTATTCCTGAATATAATGATAATTATTTACGGGAAAATTTACTTCTGGACAAAGAAACTACCTTTTATATTTTTTTTTTCTAGAAAAAAAAGGGACGGGGAGTTTTGAGAAATAAATATCTATTTTCTGATATAATTTATCGCTTATACATACCATTCTATTTGGTCGTCATTGTATTAAGTGAAATTTGTTTTGATTCTCTTTACATTTGGTCATCTGTTTTGTTTCTCTTAAGAGAACAAGTTGCAGATGCACATTGATCATTTTTCTCTGTGATAAACCAAAATAAAAGAAAACTTTTTCTATTAGAATGAATAAAGAATGTTTATTAAAATGTCTTTTGTTTTCTTATATTAAAAACTAAGTGACCAATACACTACTGGACGAAAAAAGTGCTGAGAATCCCAAATTTTACTGATAAAGTTTGATAATTACTGATACTGTGCTGTTGTTGCTGATAAATACTGATATTACTGTTATTATTACTGTTGTTGCTGATAATTTTAGCTGTTGCTGATAAATACTGATAATTACTGTCGTCTTTTACTGTGGAGTTTGATAAATGCTGATAAATACTGTTGAGGCACTGTCGCTGCTGAGAATTACTGATAAATACTGTTGAGGTACTGTCGATGCTGAGATTTACTGATAATCACTGTGGTCATTGTTTTTAACCTGGGAATGGATTAAAATAACCTGAGAAATGATTATTTGTTTTTTTTAATGTATTTTAACAAATTCATTACAGTCAATTACAAAATAAATTATTCTAAATAAAAAAGTCACGTTTTATTAATTTGTTTTCAGTTTTCAGCTATTAATTTCATTATAATTATTTTAGACCATAATGTTAACATAAGCTTTCATAAATGTTTATGTTTTTTCTTTAAATTTCTCCTTACACGTAGATGACATTATCTGAGGAAAATTATTCTATTGTATTATTTTTGCAGTGGTTTTTCTTCCCAAGTACTTTTTTAAAAAGTTTAATATTTGTTCAAGGTTAAAAAAATCTCATCTCATATTTTTTCTCACATGTCTGTGTTCTGTCATCAAAAGCTTTTTGTGGGTATCTTTTATACTTCAATACAGTCAATGGTTGTAAATATCAATTTATTTTATCGTGTGGAGAACTGAAAATGCATGAGCACATTAAGTTGAAAACACCCCCCCCCCCCTTTCCATTTACTTTTAAATTAAGCTTTCATTTTAACAAGACAGTATCAAATATTTGTCAAAAAATCTAGTCTTAAGCGTACACTTTGTTATTTTATAGAAGAATGTGACAGGGTTAAATAATTAAATTGAAGCACCTTTAATTATTTTTTTTTATATATATTATGTAGACAGCGCGCTCTAGTTCTCCGATGTCCTCCCTGCGAATTTTATATCATTGTGTCGCTTTCTAGCTTTCTCTCTCTCTCTCTCTCTCTCTCTCTCTCTCTCTCTTAAATTGTTTGTTAAGGCTTAAGTATTGTACACTACATGACATAAATCTTATGCAGTGTGATTTTCAGTCAATGAAATATATACATGTCTTTCTTTAGGATTATTTTTTTTTATCATTGTATACAGTTTTAAGTCTATGGGCATATGGCTTCTAATATTATGCGCCACTCCTTAAACATGTTATATGCGGTCAGACAGTTAAAAAACAAAATAAAATAAATCACAACTTGAATTAACTTTTTCCATTAATGCACACTTTGTGCTTGTTGTTCTGGAACATACGTGTCAACCACGTGTAAAAGTTCTACTTTCGTTTTAGAATCGGGTCAATTATTAGTACATTCTGCCATAGGGATATCGTTACGGCTTGCGTTTTTGTAAAATTAGAATTTTGTGCATAAGATTATAATTGTTTTTAATTCCATTTTTGTCCGAGACCTTTGTATAAACGAACAGTGCAGACTTGGTGTTTATTCATATGATTTTACTTGATTGTAGCACAAAAAGGAGGGGATGAAATACTGTTTACAATTAAGTGATAGCCGATAGGGCAAGGTTTGTTCTTTAGTTGTGTGTTTTAAAAGTCATGCAAGTTATGATACTATACTTATCGAAATTTTTTTTATTATTATGCATGAATGAACCATACAAAATTCAGAGCTGAAGTAATCATAACATTTCATGAGTGCGATACACAACGTCGACATTCAAAATCCATACGTTTAAGGTTTTTTTCTCGGATAAAGCGAAGTGGAGTTTCCCTGCATCTGAATTATGTACAATTAATGCTAAAAATTATTTCAAAAAAGTGCTTCACTAAACAATCTTTCTCTTTATATCTATATGATTGTATATTTTGCACACTTTTTTTTAATTAAAAAGTGAAGTCAATTTCACGTCTACGTATTTACCGTTCCCAAACCATTGTTAACAGAGATTCAGAATTGAAAATACATGTGACCACCTCCCCCGGGATATTCTTTTTTCTGATAAACAAAATATACTCCTCGGCCTAAATTTCTTTACTTCGCATTTATAGCAACATACAAATTTTTTTTGTTTAGTTTCTTATTCACGCATGCCTTTTAGGCCTACTGTTATGTATAAAATCACCTACATTTTATATGTTTTTATGGTCTATGTATACTAATGTAAAATGGTAAAAAGATTCAATTAAATGATTGATTGAAGAAATATGCGTAAAACTAAAAAATGAAATTAAATACTGAAGAAAGATAGATCTTTGAGAATTGAATTAATAATTAAAATAAGTCCGTACAACGTACATGATGTACATTTATATATCTTTTTTTTATTATAGTACCAAAGTGTTCTATTCTAAATATTTTCTCTATCAATTTTATTCGTCATCAAATTCAATATTACGGTTTTTTTTCGTGCGACCGTAAACTTTAAGATTGTTTCAAAGTAGCGAGTACTTGTACAGTGTAGGTAGTTTGTTTATTGATAACACCGGTAGCCGCAGACGAAGAACAATAGGTAATTAGTGCCCATTGTTACGCTGACCACTACAATTGCCATGGAATATACAAGTTGTACCCCGTTCTACCCCGGGGCTGAAGACATGTACACAATACAGCCAAATCACAGGTCGATCACCGATTTCTGATCAATTGAAATCAATTTAAAGGTGTTTTCCTTTCAACTTTTTACCATGCAAAATTAAAATCGATCAATTTGATCATATACTAATAGTAACATATTAAATTAAGTCTCATTTCAGTTCTTATTTCCCATTCCATAAAATCAAATTAAAAAAAAATTAATGAGATTTCAAAACTGATTAAATAAAAAATGATTTTGTGTTTAAATTTTAAGAAACAAACTAATCACATGTACCTTTGCACTAGCGATTCTTAACCTCTAATTTTTAATCAGCTCGCCCCATTTGCCAGTTGCACATGCATATAGTGTGTACTTGTACAAATGTACATGTGGAGGAGTTTAATTCTTGGACGATCTACAAACGTCATAACATTAAAATAAATGAATAAATAAATAAATTGTTAATTAAAATCAGTGCCCACAGATTGAACATATTCAAACCTGTTTTCACCTCTTAGTTACTTTTTAAAATTTCTAATTTTCGAGCAAATTTTCAAATATTTCGACAAAAAGAGACCAGAAAACTGAACATTTAACAAGATAAATATAATTGTTTTCGAGAAAAAAGGCCTTCAAAAACAAAATGTTGTCCAAACTCAACCAGTTGACCTAGTGAAAACGGAACAAATCCAACTTTTCGAACCTGCAGGAAACTTTTTTTTTATCCCATTTTTTTCCATCCATTAAGAACTTTTTCCTTATTATTGAAAAAAAGATCACCGATCTCCCTGCATAATTTTCTTGGAGTCGGGAAAGGCGGCGATGGATCTTTTTTAACATAGCATAATTTTCTTTTTTATTTACAGTTTATTTTTCAAGAAGATCTTATGCAAAAGTAGAAATCCATTTTTTTTCTTCGGTTATTTTTTTTTTTATTAATTCTATTTCTATATAATTCTATTGATAATTCATTTGATTATTGTCAAAATTTTCACAAAGGTAATAGTAAAAATTGAGATCAGCATACATACATACAGTCATGTAATTTTGTCACAAGCAGAACATTTAAAGAAATATGAAAATTTTGTCATGATAATTCAAATTATTGAAGGTTTTTATAGCCCTCTGTTTTATTTTAAACCAATTACCAGGTTAAAAACAATGACCACAGTAATTATCAGTAAATCTCAGCATCGACAGTACCTCAACAGTAATTATCAGCAATTCTCAGTAACGACAGTACCTCAACAGTATTTATCAGACTCCACAGTAAAAGTCAACAGTAATTATCAGTATTTATCAGAAACAACAAAAAATATCAGCAACAACAGTGATAATAACAGTAAATATCAGTATTTATCAGCAACAACAGCACAGTATCAGTAATTATCAAACTTTATCAGTAAAATTTGGGATTCTCAGCACTTTTTTCGTCCAGTAGTGATAGGGTGTGAGATAAAAGTTGATTCGATTAGTGTTACTTGGTCTCAAGGATCGGGGTATGTGTTCTAACAGTACATAAATTTGTAATAAAAAGAATTTTGTACAATTGCCCAAGCGAATTCCTGTTTATAAAATAAATCATGTATGGAACTTCTCATTATAATTTTTTGTGTACAGTAACGGACCCCACTCACACTTGTTAAAACATTGCATCATTTCACTCTCCATTTTAAACAAAAAATATACTTAGGTATTTTCATGTATGTTGCACTTTGCCTATTAAAAATAATTGTATTAACATGTAATAATGAAATATTTGTTAAAGAAATTCATAAAAGCAATTGATTATAATTATCTCTTTCACAAATAATGATCAAAGAGTCAGTATATTGAATATGATTATTGATTTCATAATAAGTTAAAATAAATTCAAAACGAAAAAAAAAATACAGACAAAATTGGACTTCATTAAAAAGACAAAGACGGAGGGTTGAAAGCAGCTTTAAAAAGAGATGATTCCATCCAACACACATGTACTTTATATGGTGTCCCTACGAAAATAAAAACGGACCCTATCTGAATGATCGTGTCCACAAT